GGCACATAGTGACTTCTTAAGCATCGAGAGGACTTGTTTAAAATGATTAATGTGTTTAGAAAACTCCTTATATATTATACAGAAATGTGCAAATAAATTATGACACAACTGATGGGTTGGTTTGGCCAAATAGTTGGTGTTTTCCCGAGCATGCAGACAAGCTTGAATGACTGATACTACCACACATACTGTAAGGCTTCCCCCATGAAAAATGGCAAAAGCAGCATGAATGACTCACCCTTTTCCCAACAGCAACAGAAATATTTTCTGTATTTAACCAAGCAAGTCGGCTGAAGATACATTCTTACTTCTTTATTTATATTTGCTGAAACAACTGAGGATAGATTCAGGGCACACTGAATGCCTTGCTGGAAGTATCTGACAAAAGTTCATTATGTCTATGGGATTGTTGCTCTTTTACTTTACCTGCACATTCCTTTTTCTACTGATGTTTCGAATTAATTTGTGAATACCTAAATCAAATTGAGACTTACTTTGGTAAGAGGTTAATCTGTTTAACATTACATTTTTATATACACTGCTTAAAAAAAATAAAGGGAACACTAAAATAACACATCCTAGATCTGAATGAATGAAATAATGTCATTAAATACTCCTTTCTTTACATAGTTGAATGTGCTGACAACAAAATCACACAAACATTATCAATGGAAATCAAATTTATCAACCCATGGAGGTCTGGATTTGGAGTCACACTCAAAATCAAAGTGGAAAACCGCACTACAGGCCGATCCAACTTTGATGTAATGTCCTCAAAACAAGTCACAATGAGGCTCAGTAGTGTGTGTGGCCTCCACGCGCCTGTATCGCCTGTATCGGCAGATGGTCTCCTGAGGGATCTCCTCCCAGACCTAGACTAAAGCATCCGCCAACTCCTGGACAGTCTGTGGTGCAACGTGGCGTCGGTGGATGGAGCGAGACATGATGTCCCAGATGTGCTCAATTGGATTCAGGTCTGGGGAACGGGCGGGCCAGTCCATAGCATCAATGTCTTCCTCTTGCAGGAACTGCTGACACACTCCAGTCACATGAGGTCTAGTATTGTGTTGCATTAGGAGGAACCCAGGGCCAACCGCACCAGCATATGGTCTCACAAGGGGTCTGAGGAGCTCATCTCGGTACCTAATGGCAGTCAGGCTACCTCTGGCGAGCACATGGAGGGCTGTGCGGCCCCCCAAAGAAATGCCACCCCACACCATTACTGACCCACCGCCAAACCGGTCATGCTGGAGGATGTTGCAGCCAGCAGAACGTTCTCCACGGCGTCTCCAGACTCTGTCACGTCTGTCATATGTGCTCAGTGTGAACCTGCTTTCATCTGTGAAGAGCACAGGGCACCAGTGGTATTTGCCAATCTTGGTATTCTCTGGCAAATGCCAAACATCCTGCACAGTGTTGGGCTGTAAGCACAACCCCCACCTGTGGACATCAGGCCCATCATACCACCCTCATGGAGTCTGTTTCTGACCGTTTGAGCAGACACATGCACATTTGTGGCCTGCTGGAGGTCATTTTGCAGGCTCTGGCAGTGCTCCTCCTGCTCCTCCTTGCACAAAGGCGGAGGTAGCGGTCCTGCTGCTGGGTTGTTGCCCTCCTACGGCCTCCTCCACGTCTCCTGATGTACTGGCCTGTCTCCTGGCAGCGCCTCCATGCTCTGGACACTACGCTGACAGACACCGCAAACCTTCTTGCCACAGCTCCCATCGATGTGCCATCCTGGATGAGCTGCACTACCTGAGCCACTTGTGTGGGCTGTAGACTCCATCTCATGCTACCACTAGAGTGAAAGCACCGCCAGCATTCAAAAGTGACCAAAACATCAGCCAGGAAGCATAGGAACTGAGAAGTGGTCTGTGGTCACCACCCGCAGAACCACTCCTTTATTGCGGGTGTCTTGCTAATTGCCTATAATTTCCACCTGTTGTCTATTCCATTTGCACAACAGCATGTGAAATTGATTGTCAATCAGTGTTGCTTCCTAAGTGGACAGTTTGATTTCACAGGAGTGTGATTGACTTGGAGTTACATTGTGTTGTTTAAGTGTTCCCTTTATCTTTACTTGTCTTTTGCTGGGCAAACCTGGGAAATGAGGTTCCCAAACAATGACATATTCTGCTATATAAGTCCTTTATTTTTGTAAGCCATTCTGAACTTCAAACTTTCAACAGGTCTGAACAGGCCTGTGCTTGCTGCATGTCTCTCTCCCAAAACACTTGGGCAAAATTAGCTTAATATGTTTTACAGTGTTCATAGAAATAAATGTTAAATGTTAGATCTAAACTTTTTCTTGGCACCTGAGGCTTTACTACATTTTTTAAATATTTCTTCCCTCACTTAAGCAGTGTAATATAGGGACAGAGTACTTCTTCATGGACAAGGCCCAAAATCTTTTGCCTGATAATGCTGCATTTGATGATTTTCACAGCTCAACACAGGAAACAGAGATCAGAAATTTTCCCAGGCTGTATTCCCAGGCAAAGTCCACCTAAAACTGAAACCTCATTCCTCACTCATCGCTGTCAAGCTTGGCAATTCCTTCTCTCTCCCACAGCTTTTCCCACATATCACAAACCTCTGCTTGAACTCACTCTACTTCTACATGTGCAGTAGGCCTCTGGGATAAGGCCTGAGCTATGTCTGATATCTGCACTGAGATTTTGTTTAAGGGCAACTGTTAAATGTCTTCTGTAACTGTCTTAAAGGATAGGTCCAGAATATTTCAAGTCTGCCTTAAACCACTCAGCCAGGGATAGTAAAAACACTAACTTTTATTAAAGAGTGAACATATATGTGCTTGACTCAGACTGCAATAACCAGACTGTGGCTGGTCCATTCCAGGACCACCACTGATACAGGACAGAAGTGTTGGAATGGAAGCCAGACCCTGAACTCGGGTGTAGCTCCATGTGAATCATCACATGCAACAACACCTGAACAAAACACCAAAATATTTTGATTGGACACAAATATCATCACATGCTGATGCCTGATGTCTCCCAAGGCATCAACACCACAGCTCTTACAAAACACACTGTAATTAATCAAATTGATTATAATTTCCCAAATAAATGGTAATTATTAAGTTGAGTCACACCTCCTGATGCAGTGAGCATGGTCAATCGACCAGAATGAATTGACCAGTACACTGATGCAAAAACACAATTACTCAGCGGCTTCAGACTAAAAAAGCACATCAGTCTCGTGTTCACCTTTCTTCTCCAGCCCTTGCTTTCACGTGCTGGATTGTAACATTGTGTAATAAACTTTAACTATCTGCTAGATTGTCTCCATTTTGTTTACAGTACAGTCAGGGGTCCATCATTTCAAGGCCCTAGGGGACTAATGTCAGGACCAGACTATAGTGGCTTATCTACAAAAGCTCCCCCTTAACTTTCATAAAAACCATGACGACTAATTAGAAACCAATGCTGTCCATTTGGAATCCATGACTGGAAAGGTGATTTTAAATGACCTGTACCTTGTGTTCACACTGCATCATCCACAACAACAAGTCAATCTGAGTCCTTTAACCTTGTATAGATCTCAACAACATGTGAAAACAGTGTGAATGTATGGATTGTAAAAAAAACCCACAGCAACATTTTCTGCAGTCAGTGTTTGTTAACTGGCAAATGCATTTCTAGTCTTCCTGGATTTGCAACCAATGTGATTTCCATTCCTGAACAACAGTATACTACCTGGCAAGTGCAAAATACTCAAGAGGTCAATTACAAACACTTATCTTCCACTACAGGAAAAAATGTGCCAAAAGCTAGGGTTGATAACAGTATTTCAACATTTAATCATTACACTAAAACGATTCTGGCAGTACACTTTGCTGGCAAAAACTGATGGTAAAATATAGCAGACATCTGTGCTAATGCATACGTCATCCATGTCAGCTTACTAAAACTATAGTCATCAGTTTAGATGAAGTGGCATCTGCCTGACATGTACATGAGATTTGGGGTTTACCACCTTTTTTAATTCCATTACTCAGACAAGTATGATAAAGGACAATCCCAGTTACCAAAGAAATGCCTGTTTCCTGTTTCATTTCAAGAATGTAAGCTGTTCTGCAAAGGGTCTTTATGGTTACGGAAACATTGCTTAGTTACACAGGCCAGCTCATCATTTACTATAAATTAATTTATGGCTAATTATTTTTATTCACTTTTATTATCATGGGTTTATAGTTATGGTATAATTTACACCAAAGGTCCCACTTGTGCTCATAATTAAAATTGGCAAGTGGCAAATGGTGACGGAGCCACAGCAAATTCCCACTCACCAAAGATTGTATCCCTACAATTAGCTAACTGAGTTAATTCTCACTTCTGATTCATATGGTGTTTTATGTTCAGCAAAGTGCTCTAAGTAACTCTAGAAAAAAATTCCACACTCACTCAATCTCTATTTGCAACCAAACTACTACTTTCCTAAGTAGAGTCACAGTAAAGGTTTTGTGCCTGGACCTGGCCTGAGTGAAGGGCATTAGTGTATCCACAGTGCTGGGTCATGTCAAATGATTAGCATCCTACCACATATGTTTAGCCATAGTGGATTGCTAACGTGACTGTATTTGTAGCTGGCAACATTTTACTATATATAAGTTAGCTAGCTAACTGTAGCATTACATCTTCCTCTTATCTTAGCAAATAAAGAGTTTTTCCTTCAACTAAATTTGAGGCAAAGCACTGTAGTGCAGTTGAAATACAATGTGGTCAAATTAAATAGTAGGACCATATAACTAACCATCGTTTTTACATTTAAATTAGCTTATCAGTTAAATTGTTGTTTACATTTAGATTGGTTAGCCTATGTTTTTCTCAAAGATAAATACATAATACAATAATAATACATAAACACTTATTGTTATTTGGACAAACGTCTTTTAAGTATTTTCTGTTTAGGTGAAAAGAAAGATATTCTACCTTTACAGAATTACGAAAAAAACTCACCCTTTCCAAACTTGCAACTGCTTTGCTGAGCCAATGAATGAAATATGGTCGCCGGAAGTGACATAGCACTAGTCTCCTTGCTCAGCATGTATCATGGATCATACGTAAACACAATTTAACGTTTTATTATCAGGTCAATGTTCCCGTATTTCTAGAACTCTATGACAAATGGCGCAAGGAGGTGTGTTACTTCAGGCATAGCAGTTTGGCCGTTAACTTAATCGTCTGAAAAGAGTTGGGAATTAAACTTGTTTTGAATTTTCTTTAACCCGCAGTTAGTATATGGAATATTTTTGTTACCAACTGGACTAAAGTCTGTCAGCAGGAATCTGGAAATATCTTCTTAATAACGGTAAGAAACAGAAGCGAAAGTTAAGCTATTTGTCAACATCTAAAACGTAAAACGATTAACTAATTTTGTAAACTGTGAAGAACAAAGTGGTGCCAGACAGTCTCTAGCTAACTTACATGCAATACAACAAGCGACATTAGCATGTAACGTTTTTATATACAGTCTATGGTTATACCCAAGAAGGGTGCTCTCCGTAAAATGCCCACGTGTAACTGTAAATCCTTTTTATCTAATTGGACTTCTTATATCGTCTATGGCTGATTCATACTTGACCAGCCCCTCACCCAACTCCTTGGTTAATTATTCATCCAAACAGGCCAGGAAAGTAATTTCCTCCAGCAAACCACAATATTTTGACTTGCAGTCCAATACTATTGCATAACAGGGACTGCTGTCCCTGTTCATCAGCCTTTGATTTTTCCAAATGTTTGTAACAGCGTATGAGACCACATTTGGCCGGAGACCATGCAAACTGTACCAGATCCACGTGATGATCCTCTTCTTTTACAAGTTTGCAGAAAGGTTTGTTTTACAAAGAATGTAGGCCTATACAGTATGTTATGAATGGTTCATATCCGACCACAGGTTACTGTTTTGGTTGGTAGGCATGCATGTTGACTACGCCTAGAGAGAGAGTGTGTCTGTCTGTCTGTCTGTCTGTGTGTGTGTGTGTGTGTGCGCGCGCGCGCGCGCGCTCAGAGGGAGAGAGGACCAGCTGGGACAATTGGCACAGGTCTTAACGATTTTTTCCCTGACAAAATGCTTTTAGAAATCCCATTCATCAATCAAGAACATATAAAGTGCACATTTTGATTTTTACTAATTTGCTATATTTATCAGAAATATACATCTTGTGAAAATGGGATCTGACCATTATCTGTAATACAGCATTGAATTTGCTCATTATGTTAACACTTGTAAACACTTGCCCATCATAAGAAGTCTTTAAATTGCTTTAAAGTCCTGTCCCCAAAGAAATGCTATTTATTATTATAGAAGACAAGAAAATAACACATTTTCACCCTTAACCACCATCAAAATAGCTGCATTAGTAATATTTATGTTGATCAACTCTCAGCTCTAACAATACATGATATTTTTGGATTGTGTATATATACCAAAGAACATTTGATATCGATAATGAGCCTGATAAATGTCAAATCATTATTTCTTACAAGTTTAAAGACTGATTTTTTGCTCCTGAGTGAAAGTTGAGGAAAAAAAAAACAGATGGTTAATTCTGGTTTTAAACTAGTCTTTATTGTCAGAACATGAAAAACATTTGATGCCAAACACTGAATCATTTCACAAATCTGAGGTAGAACATCCAAAACAATTATGCATTATGCATGAGTAAAATTAAGTAAAATCTCTTTCATTCCCTTTTTCTCAAAAAATAAATATCTTAATAGAAAAATTAACTGCTAACTTTTTCATGATTCAAATGAATTAAATCAAACCTTTATTGAGCATTTGTTATATTGTTGTTGAGGAAACTTATATCACGATGATTATCATCGTTTTATTGCCCAGCCCAAGCCATTGCCATCTGAAACTTGGCCCCTGGACTGCAGTAGTAGTGTATTTAAATATATATGTTCAGTTGTAATCCATACTTGTAGCATGATCTTTAGCAGCATAAATCTGTCTGTGTCTGTACCTGCTGTACGAGACATTGCCTGAAGGTAACTGTAGAGATGTTATCCCAGAGAGAAAAGTCTAGAGAATGTGCCTTGGTATTCAAGTCTACCACAGTTGCCATGGCAACCAGCGAGGACTTGGTCGTCCCTGTGATAAAATGTGAGAGAAAAACCCTGTCAATACCAAATTCAATGTGTCTCCCGTCTGACTGGCTGTCTCCCTCTCTCTTATATTCTCTGTGCATAAGTATTTATTCACTTACACACTTGCATACACACACCCTAATCAATCTGGGGTTTGAACCCACAACCTTCTTGCTGTGAGGCGACAGTGCTAATTTTATAATTTTCTGTTCTAATAATTTTATTTTATTTTTTTTTAGTGTTTTGGTGAAATCTTTGGTTGCTGGGCAGTTACTGCTGTTTCTGCCCTGCATCTGCTACTGACTACTTGCCAGTCAAACAGTGTGATCCATATACTTTTTAGTTTTGAGTTGAAGTCCTTCTTTGCTTTATTTCACTCAGACCTCTGATGATGCCACTGCTGGATACGTGAAATGCATCACTCCCTGTGGCCAAGAGGCTCCTGTCCTGTGAGGATTGACCAACCACAAAGTTTTCTCAGGTTTGTTGGAAACATTAGCTCTTTCCTCTCTTCTTCTCTCCTGCCCTTTCTCCTCCTCTTGTCATTGAAGCTAGATCAGGCCACTGCACATGCTCAGTTCAACCTGTCTGATCAAATCAGAGCTATCTCACTAGCCAGCAGAGGAAATGGGACAGGAACGATAGTTAATGGGAGAAAGGAAGCATAGCTCAATGCTGAAATTGAGAAAAGAAGTAGACAATTGAAATTAACACAGGTTGTGCTTTAGAGGTGAGGAACCAGGCCCTGGGGTATAACCAACCCAACTTAAGCCAGATTGGATTTTGTTGTCTTGCTTCTCAGAAACCATCAACAGTACCACCCAAGAGTTCATTCTACATCTTCATTGCTAGCCATATTGTTTATAGCACGTGTGAATGTGTGAGGATAGCTTAGATTAGATTTTTTAAATTAGAGCTATTTCGGGCCAGCAACCATGTATTCATCATGCTTTGGTACCTATATTTTCATGACTTAAGTAAGTTGAGCAAGTGAAACGCTGTAAGGCATGCAATAATAATAATAATAATGATAAAAATAAACTTATAGAGCACTTTTAAAACAACGTTCAAAGTGCTTCACAAAAGGCATACATACCCACAACAATTGAGGATTCCACAACAATATTTCTTAAGTCGAAACCATAGTCGAGACTAATGGAGATTGTTCACTCTGCTCACTTTTAACACTGCACTTGTCTTGGAACGTTTGCTACATTTCGTCTTAGCATGAAGTCCTCGGTTGACTTTGGGAGATTTGTAGGTATACTGAAGGTTGTATATTGAAATTTAGTAGTTATTCTGTTCATCTGATACTTGTAGCTCTGATGCTGTGGTGTTTATTGTTGTACATTAGAATTAGTTGTCTCTATATTGGATTTTGCTGTTCTGTGTGCTTTGTACTCTGTGCACACCTATTGCATGTTTGTCTGTCCTGGAAGAGGTCTCACTCCTCTGTTGCATTTCCTGTTCTCAAGTTTCTCACATTTATTTACTACACATATTATTTATTTTCCTAGTTTGTTTTATTTTTTTTATGGGATGTAGTAGTTTTGAATTAAAAATATATTTTTTGATGGTGGGGTTATCTAGTGGTCAGAATGTGTTCTTAAACAAGATCACCCAGATTCAAGCTGGTTGTAGCTGACCTGTGTCTGTGTCATTAACTATAAATGCTCTGAAGTACAGGAGATTACAGGAGAGCAATAAGTGAAAGACACGCACATGTGTCATTGCAAGCTCTCAAGCAAGCCAAAAAAAACTGTTCCCATGTGCTGCAGACCTCTATGATTTGGGAAGGGTGCGTGAGAGCAACAAATGATTTATAAAGTTTAGAGTAGTATAACCAAAGGGCTCAGTGACACAGCTGTGGAAGACCCAGAGAAAATAAATGACTGTGAAATTGGTCACGCTATGGAAAAACACACATTCCTCATTCTAGCTCTCAGTCAGGAGTTTTTTTTCGTCACCTCCTTTTTCTATTGAGAGTGAACAGTTGAGATAACCACTCACTGTTGTTTATGTGTGTTCATGTCAGCAATTCAAAGGGAGAGTTTTAATAGACAGGCAGTTCTATTCAGTGGACTAGTCCAGGGCCTGCAGGTCACACTCATAGACTGTATAAAACATGGACGTAGTGTCTGTATCGTCACACAGGTTTCTAAAGAGCCGTTGCGAATCTCAATGCTCAGCAGCTCCAGCCATGGCAATCTTGGCGGTGCCTGACTCTGGCTAATCCAAAAATATGAAAAGAGGTGACGCTGAGGCAGGCTGAATGAAGCCTGGTTGGCTAACCACCTAGCGGCTAGCCACCTGAGAGGCCACCCACCTGTCACTCAGACATCCTTAAAACCGGGGTAGGTAACGTTGGAGAACTAGCAAGAGACTTAGGTTAGGGATTTTTAAAAAGTAAGTCTAACCCTAACCCTACCCCAGCTGTAATTTGTCTTTACTTTAAGCCTTAATATAATTAAAACAGGCGAGTTTTATAAAAATTCAACCCACACACAAATTATCTATAGAGACCAAAAACATATTTTACCAGGCTGTAAACAGTTTATTTCTGCTGTAAAGATAGGCATTTTAACATGGGAGTCTATCGAGATTGACTCATTTTTGGAGCCCGGCTCAAGTGGCCATTCAATGAACTGCAGTTTTTGGCACTTCGACATTGGCTTAATTTTTCTGCCACAGAGGTTGCTGCTTGGTCACATCACCGCCTTTCAATTCTCTAGATGACTGTGTTGAAGCTGGTTACAGTCATGAATTTATGAAAGCATAAAAGGGCAGTATTATCACAGTATTGTAAAAATGTGCCAAAAAATATTAAAATGTACTGATACACACACTGAAACCATTTCAACAAGTTTTATATTGAAAACTACAAATACAGTTGCCATTTTGTTTGCATAAAAAATTAAATAACAGCAAATACCTTTTGTAAACATATGAAAATCATCTAAGTGTGCATTATCAAGATTTTATATTATATAAGTAATACAATGACCCCGTGGACATTTACATGAAAACAAATAAGTCTTTAGAAGACAGTGATAGTAACTGCAAATGAACCCATAAACTGACATAAATACAGAGGAGTCTGTAGCGTTTCTAGATACGCTGGTTGGTTGACAAAACTGCGTAACGTGTTATCACGTGCAGTGGATGAATAGACTCTGCCGACACACGACGCACACAGAAACAGAACAACGTGTAGCGTTTTTACAAGAGCAGCAACACTGAGAGTTTCACGCTGTTAGCAAGTCAGAGAGACAAACCAAAGCTAAAAGTTAACTCACCCTGCGTTATCAGGTTATTTTCTTCAATCAAGTTTCCCTCAGCACGCTCATAAAAACTAAAATACGACAGGTGTTATGCCGAGTTTTGCCTGCCTGCCGAGAATTGCATGCCCCTCCAAACACTGCTTTTAAACGCTATAATATTCTTTGTGGGATCCATCAATGGTGTTAAATGATTCGAAGTATATATTTTATGAACGTTTAGAGTCTTTAATATTTTAATACACTTAGTAGAAGTACCATTCCTTGACATTCAGTAAATATATGTGGTGATAACACCGTTTGATCAATGAGCACAGCAAAGTGTCTGAAAAGGACCTAAAGAGATTGACGCATAATTCGGCAGATCAAATTTTGTAGGTTACCTGCCGAGATTTGCATCCACCTTTTTTCTCAGCATAAATGACCGTTATCACCCGCGAGGTGCATGCAATTCTCGCCAGGCAAGCAGAATTCGGCATAAGACCGGACTTCAGAGTGACTGAAAAATCTCCGCAGTGTTGTCTTCTGCCTTGTCCCAAACAAACCCATGTTGCATTCTGCGCATGCGCGCCTGGTTCTGGGAGACGCTGGACAGTGTTTGCCATGAGATTATAATAGCGCGGTTAACCGTACCTGGTTATCATGGATATAAAATGTATATGGTAATAATAACCGTCTGGAATTTTACCATGGTTTACCGTTAAACCGGTAATCATCATTTCATCCCTAGTTTTAACATTACTACAGCGCAGTGGTTAGTGGTGGACAGCCATTTTGCTCCACACTGACGCGCACGCGTGTTTGTGTGCGTGTGTTGCTGCGGTATGTAAATTGACTTGATAGACATGCCCTGAAGGTAATGATATAGCTACGTCTGAAAAAGACACAGTCAAACTACAGTTTGCTTGGCAATGTTGTTGACTAGCATGCAGCAGCTAGTTTGCTCAGACCATAAAGCTGCTGTTAGCGGCTCGCTATGCAGTGAGGTAACAGATACAGACACTCTTATTCTACAATATGGCACCAAATTACTTCATTGATGTAAAAAGGCGATCATACCGCGTTATTATATAAATCTTATCAATCTTCTGTCTTTGTTGCTGTTCCCAGAGGTTTAGTTGATTAGAGCTAAATTGGTAGTTTTGGGATTTCTAGTACTTGACTTTTATTAGTATACCCCTGTGCCACAGTAAATTTAGGGGTTGAGTAAAGTGACAACTCTGTGTTGCTACGCCAGACGGTTTCCAGAAAGGTAGAGCATGTTTCCCCGGAACAAGATGGTGGTTGTGGAGCTCTCAACCCCAACCTCCACCACCCCACTGCTCCTACCAGGCTGGGGCCTAGTGTTGTCACGATACTGGAATTTCTAACTTCGATACAATACCTTGAAAAATATCAATGTTAGATACCATTTGCAATAACACGGGGGAAAATTGACACAACATTGATAAAATTACTGAATTATCTTATCAACTTATCTTAGTCAATAAAGTTAATAGTACTGTGTGTTAAGCAGAATAGCATAAGTTAATTTACTTCTGACCTTAGACAAAGTATTTCTATCAACTGAAACTCTGCTGTCTGAGATTCCTCAGGTCTGATAGCTCTGAGGGGGATTAGCATAGTTTTGAGAATTATAAATGTCTATTAGGCAAACAACAGGACAACTATCTTCTCAACAACAGTTTACTTGGCCATCTTGTTTAATACTTTAGTAATGTTGAAAGAGAGATGTCTCCAACCTCTCCAGGTTCTTTATAGAGTATGGTGTGTCGGTCCTGCAGGTGCTTTGCTCTTTAGCACCACTCTGTACCGTCACTTTTATATGGACTTGTTTGTATCCTTTGCCAGCATCCAATCACAACTGACTGCTTGTGAGTACTAACCAATCATAGCACAGTAGGGCAGGAACTCTGTCAGGGTTAAAGACACGATTCAAACGGAGCGAATGAGATGAGAAGAAAGCACTGTGAGTGACAGGAGGCCTCCAGCGAATATAAAAACATTTTAGCGAAATAAAGGATTTTTTTTCCCCCGAAATTTGCTGTTTCAATAGCCGTGTTTCCATCAACTTTTTTAATGCGCATTTTGAAGTATCGCATTAGAAAAGGTTGATGGAAACGGCAAAATTTGGAAAAAATCCTTAATTTCGCAAAAATGTTTTTTCACTCGCTTGAGGTGGTTTTTGCCTTTGTCGAAAAAG